CCACTTACAGTCATTGCGTTGATTCATCCAATGTGTGTATTCATCCGATCACTTTATAAAGGGCTGTAGTACAGATAGTTTTCACTCATGATTCTGACTTTATCTTTAAATTATATTAAGACTAAACATGATAAAACAAGTAACTACAGGACATGTTTAGATTAGATTTAAGCACACATGTAGATTTGCAAACTTTATAAGACCCAAAATACTCAGGTCTTCAGTCTAATCTCAAAAGTAGACAGAGTGTCAGCCTCATGGACAGAAACTGGAAGTTGGTTCCACAAGAGAGGAGCTTGATAACTGAAAGCTCTGCCTCCCATTCTACTTTTAGAAACTCCAGGAACCACAAGTAAACCTGCAGTCTGAGAGCGAAGTGCTCTGTTAGTAAAGTATGGAACAATAAGATGTTTAATATATGATGGAGCTTGGTTGTTGAGAGCTTTGTATGTTAGGAGTAATATTTTAAATTCTATTCTGAATTTGACAGGGAGCCAGTGGAGAGAAGCTAAAACTCATTAAAACTCTAGCAGCAGAATTTTGGATTAACTGAAGACTTCTTAAAGAGTTTTTTTTGGATGTCCAGATAATAAAGAATTACAGGTCAATAAATAGGTTTCAATAAATGTGATATTTTTTATTTCAGTCTGAGATAACTCTAAAATATTGACGAGTTATAGTAAACATTGTGGAAAACATGAAAAAATGTATCTGGGTTTGTACTGGTGGGTAAGGTCAAAAAGTCAGTCAGTTTTACAGATGGTTAAATCTGATGTGGTAGTTGGCTAAATAAGAGTTGTACAYTCACCCCATACAGTCATTATAACATTTCAAGAGATATCAAAATACTATAAGATAACACCATTTACAAGGTTAAGACAAAATGGCTCGATGACTTTAGTTTTAAACTTTGGTATGAACAGTGACTCTGCCCAAAAGAACATCCTTTGTCAAAAATCCATCAGTGACAACAAGTAGTAATCTCATACCAAACTATAAAATATTCTGCAATCAGTAACAAACACAGAAGCTAATTCTTAGAATTGTTCTTCATGCATTAAATGTAATTATTATCTACACCAGCAGTTTACATGGACTAGTCTAAACGCATGTAATAACTTTAAAAAATATCAAGTTATTTTTTTGGCAATCTAAATGTATTCACAAATTTACACTTTAGACAAATTTAAAGGGATTATTGTTATCAGTAATGTAGATTTTAGTCTAGTCCAATGGTTCCTGTTATAGTTGTCTATTATACAGGAAAAGAAAATCTCATTCTCACAGGAAATTAGTGGCTGTATGTTTCTACTTTCAGGCAGCTGTGTAAGCTAAAGGTGGAAAATGTCTCCCTCCCACAGCTCAGAAGTTAGTAACAAGGGTGTGCCCACGCTCTCATTTAAAGGGTGGGGCACTGTTGGTAAATTACAGATGGGTGTGYGGTTAAACCCACATGCGGTAATATCAGAGGGAACTAAATATAAAAGCAGAGAAACAAACTATGAGTGGAGACAGCCAGGGTTTTTAAATGTCAGGCTGCCATTTGGAAATACAGTGTGTGATTTCTGCAGGAAAAAAAAGCTGTAACACCAGAGAGAAAAGGGCATGGAGAACCTCAGATCTACAGATTGGGATAAATTTGTTGGAACTCTTACAACTCATTAAAACACAGCTTTATTTCTTGTTTCTTGTTTGTGATATTAAAAATATCAGATCTATGTACTGTACATGTTCAAGAGAATGCTAATACGAAACAGTATAATATGTATTCATTTAAAC